TTGGCCTGAAAGTAATTCAAATAAAACCAAAGTAAAGGTAAACAATGTAAAACCACAACAGTCATCACGTATTAAATTCAAGCAGAGATTGTTGGTACAATATTCTGTATTATCTTGAAGATGTCAAGCTATTTTAGTGTCCAAACAATATTACTGAAATGTTGCTCGTGTTGAGATTGATTCACCAAAACAATTGAGAAACTTAATAGTATGACGATCTGACTGCTGTGATGCTATTTTTACATCTGTTTTGTATTTTTTGTTTTTTTTTACTTTTGCATTGTCTTTAAATACCTCTTATGTGTCAAATGTTGACTTTGTAAAAGGGTAAATGCTTCAAATCTGCTCCTTGTTTATTAATAATAAAATAATAATCTTTGAATTTGATCTACTGTAGCACCTTTCGTATCAGGAGGACATCTCAAAATGCTTTACAGGAATTACTGTAAAGTGAAGTTGACTACATCTTTTAGGTGATGTACATCACACAATTTGTTCACATATCTGAGTACATTTGTGTCAGAGAATTCAGAAAAAGTAATTCAGTACATTAATATTGTTTTTAAGACCTAGGCTCAGGCATAAGCAATGGAAGAGTATATGTGATGCCACTTTTAAACAGAGTCCACCTGCCAATGAGGACAAGATGTATCTTATGAAACTCGAACAATGCAAGGTTCCAAAGAAAAATGTTCAGTTTTTTATCGTTTTTAAAAACTTTTGATGTATTTTGACGTAAAATCCATTTGACGTTATGTAAAATTTATAGGAACATTTAGAGATAAGTGGGTTTGACTGGGAAATCAAGTTTGCTTTAGCCTAGCCCATTAAATTCCAATGCAGATCCAAGTCGCTAAAATAATAATATTATTATTATAAAATACACTGTTGAAACCAATCGTCCAAAATTCAGAGTTCATAGTTCTAATTCAGATTTTGTACAAAATGGAGAATTAAACCAGTTCTCGGGAAATCTCAGCCTGCAGCAACAAACCGAACAGTTTCATTGGCCTCGTCTAACTCGCTGATTCCGACTAATTTAGTGTGCTTCTCTTTCTGTCAGACTTTATGCTGTTTAGCTGGTCATATGCTCTGGGTGCATTTAATACAAAGTTTTCACATCCTATGGTAATATAGTTTTTTTTGTACTGTCGGTTATTACTGATCAGTAGAAGCCCCATCTGATGTACTGAAGCAGAGACGAGCATTCCATGCTTGCACTTTTACAGAAAAGTCACATTCTATTTAATATATGCTACTGTGTATCAATTTAATATCAATTGTGGTATTGGGTATTTAACTAATACTACTAAAATGGCATTTAAATAAATACAATATATTGTAATAAATCACCAAGATTTTAAAGAAATTGTGTATTGTTTTTTACCAAACTTTCATCACGTGGCAAAATTTAGTTTTAAAATTACTAGTCAGGTTGTTTTCCGTTGTGAAAAAATCTTGAGGAAACTCACCAGGCGTTCAATGTGTCATTATCACAACTCACAATGGATTGCTTATGTGCCTTGTGGGAGGTATTAAAAAGAGATTCTGAAGATCTACAAAGACGATGCACATATTGCTCCTGGAAGTTCCATTATCACAGCAGAAATTTACTTTGGTTTCGGTTTCAAAGTCACAAAGTGAATATCTGCAGGAGGAAATGTTTTGGAGTCTCTATACTTTAAACCAGAATTGTCCAATACATTAGCCACTAGCAGCCACGTGTAGCTAATTGGGAATCCAGATGTGCTTAAATTGCATTTTTGATCGGTAAATAAAAAATGAGTAAGAGACACAGTCAATGTGTATGTGATCTAAATATTCATGCTCGCACAACATATGAATGTGTACTTTGATCTTTTTGTGTGTTTGTTGGTAAAATGGAAAGCGTTGGAGTGCAAGTGTTTTTTGATCGTGTATGCTCTACTTCCTTGGTTACTGTTTATCTGTTAAATTGGTGTGTGACACAGCTTAAGATGCTAAATTTTGATCTGGCACATCTCATGAAAGAAAAATAAAGACACGCTCCTGCTCTCCACCCAGAACAGGGCTGGTTACTGCTTGCCTTTTGCATGCTGTGCCCTGTTGGAGATGCTCATTATTGCTGGGCTTGCTCAGTTCTTACCTCTTGTACTCCCTTCTTCTACCACTCCATCTTGCGCCCTCTTAGTCTTAAAATCACACCTCCTTCTCCCCCCCACCCCCACCCCCCTCTCCCTTGCTTGGGCCTGAACCCCCTCTCTGTACAGCACTCCAAGACATAACCCTCATGAAGGATGCTATATAAATGTATGTTGAATTTATCTTCTTATTGGACAATTCCATGATATGAGATGAAAGAACAATTCTTTAATAAATCAGGTTTAAACTTTTTTTTGTACTGTAAATGACCCAAACCACCCCCTCACAAAATTTCCTACAGCTGAATGGCAAGATGGAAACCATACTCTGCCTCCTGTCAACATCTCTCCTGCGGATCTGAGCTCTTCATCCTCCCCGGGCTCTCCCAGACTCACCCATGTGTAATTTAGAGGTCAGGTTCGATCCCCAACTTTCTACCCCATTCCCTGACCAGGAACGATTTTTTCCACCTCCGTCACATTGCCCGCCTCCATCCATACCTGTTTGCCCCTCGTGCCCTCCATTCCGCCATCGATGGCTGTGTCTTCAGCTACCATGCCCCCAAACTGGAACTCTCTCCCTCAATCCCTCTGCCTTGCCCTCTCCTTACCTTCAAATCCCACCTAAAGATCTTTTTTGATCGTGCTTACAGTCACCTCCTTCTCCCCCTGGCTCGGCGTCAGCCTCCGCCACTGTCAAGCACTCCGGGTTCTACCCATCCGTGAAGGGCGCTATATAAACGCAAGTTGTTGCATTACAATGAGCTCAAGTTGAAAGAAACTGATTTTAATTGACACAATTTGTGCTGGATACATGGCTATTGCAGTTTCTTCGTAACATGCAGAATGTATATTCTGTTGCTTGAACAGAAAAAATTGAATCGCAAAGCTTTTAAATAAAATATTCAATCTTGTACAAAGATTAGACATTTACTAAGGTGCCAGTCATCCATATTAATATCTCCAAAGGTTCCTCTGAGGAGTTGTTTACGAGTGAAGTATTTCTGCAAAATTAAAAATGTTAGGGCTCTAACAGCAGCAAACAATAATTTCCTTAATTTAAGCAAATCTAATTGAGAACTAAGGTGCTCAGCAAACTGGAAATTACACTCCACCCTCATTATAACGCATTTCTCTGGAGGTGAGCATTTTGCATTTTATAACCGACTCGAATGTAATATGAAAAACTCAGGAGCTCCAATCTAGTTGTCTTCATATCATTAAATTTGTATAAATGCCACTTATTTCAATCAACATGCAAGATATGAATATCTGTTTGGATCTGGTAGTAGAACAACGAGATTTAATTTGAAAATAAGATGTATGCTTGGTTGTGATTTAGGCTTGGAGAAATGGATTGTTCTTGAGACAGAATTTAGATTTTTGTTTATTTTAATGCAACTTTTAAACACTAACATGGCCACTGCAGTGTTCAGGAAAGCAATTGCAGGCAATAGGAATGGATAGTGGCTGCTGTTTTCCACTGCATTCATTCTCCATTCCTTTGCTTATAGCTGCATGAGCAAATGTACATGTGCAATGTACGGACTTATCGAGAACAAGAAAGTCTCCTGTGATCTCAGCTAAGATTGTGAAGCACTGTGATCAATCTCAATGCCTTGAGCAAGGGAAAGGAAAAATCTGTCAGGTTTCCCTGTCCCTATCACAATCCACACACCTTTAATAATAATAATAATAATCCTTGTATTTGATATAGCACTTTTTACATCTTCTAAACGTCTCAAAGCGCTTCACAGAATAGACTGTAAAGTGAATTGACTGTATGTTTGTGGGCGAAACGCGGCAGCCAATTGCACATAGCAGTGTCCCACAAACAGTCGTGGATTGAAATGACCAATTTTTATTATTTTTCTTTCTTTAATGAATGATAGATGTCAGGTAAGGGAACAATTTGGCTTGGCTGCAGTAGCTGCTTTAGCCAAACAGTCTACCAGCTATCACTGTCTAGGCTCACACATAAAAAATAGCCACTTGGGTAAGATAATAGAGGGCTGGCACTGTGCTTCAGTTTAAGCACTCCGGGATGCTATCCCCCATGAAGGGAATTATATAAATATAAGATGTTGTTGTTGTTGAGTTGATGCTTCAGAAGAGGAGAGGTAGAGTAAGGTGAGAAAAATGGAACCAGAATTAAAAGGCAAAGACAATGTTTACATACTTAAATTAACCTTAAGCATTTAACCATCATTCAACAACAACAACAAGATTTCATTTATAGAGTGCCTTTCACGTCGGGAGGTGTCCCAATGGACAGTTGGGTCGGGACCCGAGCCGGTGGGGACATGGTCAGGGGAGGGAAGGGAGGGAGCGAGGAGGGGGTAGAGAGTCGAGAGGGGAGCTGAAGGCACGGTCAAAGAGAAAGGTCTTGAGACCGGCGTTGAAGGAGGAAAGGGAGGCGGCAGCGAAGGCACTGGGTGACAGAGTTCCAGAGCCTCGGGGCTGAGAGGCTGAAGGCCCGGCCACCGATGGTAGGGCGGTTGGGGCAGGGGATGTGGAGCAGACCGGAGCCAGAGGAACGGAGGGTACGGGCAGGTAAGTAGGGGGATAGTAGGTAGGAGGGAGCAAGGCCGTGAATAGCCTTGTAGGTGAGGATGAGGATCTTGAATTCAAAGGCAGATAAGATGGTTATCTGTTTCATGTTCATTTAAAATGTATGACTGAAAACCTGGTGAATTTTTGTGAAGTTAGTATTCATAGGGAGCAAACAAAAATGGGATTGGGCAACAGATTGGAGATCTGTTTCCCTCTTTTTTTCTTCATACATATGGGTAAATTGCCCTTTCTATAAATATAATCCTTGCATGTTGATATAGCACATTATCACGTCATTGAGACGTTTCAAAGAACTTTGCAGAATTTTACTAGGAAGTGTGCTTGTGTACTTAAATGTGGCAGGCAATTTGCACAAATCGGTATTCCACAAATGTCCGTGAAGGGAATGACTAATTTTACTTGGGGGATTATTAGCCAGGACACATGATAACAAATAGCATAGTAAAGAAGGGTGCAGTGTAATTAATAAAAACCGTACAGTTCTCGTTATCTCAATCTGCCATTACTTGCCAATGGTACTTGATGGCGTGATCACATTATATTCTGCCTGAACTAACACAAAGCTGTTTTCTCGTATCTTTCTAACGTGCACCAGCTCACCGTTCTCTGCCACACTGATGATGTTGCTGTCCGGGTCTCGGAAGGACACCTCAGTGCGTTTATGGCAGTGTTGGGAGAGAAGCTGACGCAACCCCACTGCCAGAGCCATCCCGAGAGCAGCAGAACAGCCAAGGAGGATCCCAAGCTGTGGAATACCTAGCTCTGCACCTTTGGTGGGATTACTCCCTCCCTTACCTGAGTCACCTTTCTGTATTGGCCTCGTCATCCCCAGGGATGTGTTTCTGACCACTTTGCCAACACCAGTGCTGGAACCTGAACTTTCCGCCAAGTGTAGAAAGTTCGCTGAAGCCCGGTATGATACCAGCTGGTTATCAGCTTGTGTTGGATGCATATTCTCTAGATCAGGAAATTGTCCTGAGCTCAGAAGACTGGTTGCTGCTGATCTTTTGGCATCTCGCGTAACCACAGGCGAAAGTTGTGTTTTCCCAACAGCGCTGAAGTAAGTGTTCCAAAAGACAGGATAACCTCGGCCAGTTGTTACTGGCAAAGAAACTGCCTCTGAAGCTCCTGGATTAGCAAACGTGGGAATGTTCCAAGGATGCACCTATAAATGGAACAACAGCGAATATCTGTTATTTGCCAGGAATTGTGGATTATCGCTAAGCAAACTCGGAATGATTGGATTAGGAAATTCACTCTTCATTCTTGCTGCTGTTGTGGATCAACACAGACAAAGCACATTGACCTCCTTCAATTTGCTTTGACTTATGGCCAGCAAATAAAAAAGGGCCAAAATGTCATGAAAGTACCTCCCATAAACTCCACATTTATGGGAGTTACAAGGAAGAGTTTATATGACTGTTACAGATTTACTCAAGATGCACTCTTGTAGTTCATGGCATCATCTGAATCTCTTACTACATTTGCTGCTCTCTATTCATTCCCAGGTATCCATTTTCTTTTTAAAGTGATTGTCACTCACTTTACAAAGTATTAATTCTTTGCCATCCATTACTGAACACAAACATAAACAGCTTCTTTCAGCAATTCATTCCTGCTAACTTGTGTAAACTACTGTATATATTTACAATATTCACAAACTTCAGTGAATTAATGAACTTAATTTCAGAAATATTTCACCAAATAGCTTGAAGAGAAAATGTTTGAACACTATACACTTCAACTTGTTGGGATGATAAGAGTTGTGCACACTAGAAGTTAATGTTTAGCCCATCGCGCGAATGTAAAAATTAAGTACTGTAATTGCTTACTTGTAAAATATCACTGCAACTTGCACACGACAGAGAGTCACTGTGACTAAGCAGGACATCCTCACTATAAATGTAAAATTGGATGAAGTCAATAGTCAGGTATTCAAACAAGAAAAAGATTTTCTACGCAGTTTGTACATTGGGAACTCAGGCTTTTCAATACTTTTAAAGGGGAAGGTTACGGCATGTGAAAATAGTTTTATCCTACATTTTACTATTGGGAGCCACTTCCCTCAGAGTAAGCTATTGATGGGGATGAGAGGTTTGCTTTATATTCTTGTAAATAAAGATTCTGAAAGAAAAACAAGCCCCTGACGTTTTATAAGTCATAGTTCTATGGTCCAAGCCCATTATACCATCATACCCAATTGGCCAGCATGCATGTGCCACAGTTTAGTGACCTCAGCGGTGCTGTTGTTGGTGACTCGACCACACACCCAGCACTGGCCCATTCTAACATGGAATCTGTTTTTACGGCCCTCAGCCACTGCGTACTAATGGACGTCTAACTGTAGAAAGAAAGAACTTGCAGTTTTAAAGTGCTTTATTGTAACAAAATGCCTCAACGCACTTCACAGGTAATTATTGTCATTTTTTGTTTATGGAAAGCCTCCGGATGCTTGTCCAGCTAGAGCTACACTATCTGTTAGGTCTTTGGTTAGTAGGGCTAACGGGAGTCATGATGGGCAGAATTTCTGCTCCCGGGCTGATCTGTCTTTTCGAGCACAGCCGATGAGCTAAGTTGGCTGGACTATCATCAGCAGTGCCTTGGAGTATTGTGGACTCGCCTGGTTCAGGAACAGAACCAATACTGCTGACACCACCTCAGCGAATTAGCTCAATTTCGACACTTTGTGTAGCCCAGGGTCCCAGGAGGGTATTAATTACTGTCAAATGAGAACTTCACTTTTAACGTGTCTTCCTAAAGATACAATAAAAAATATTCACTGTTTGCATTTTGGAAAATTATTACAAGGTGGTTTACCTGTGCATTGTTCTAAATTCTGTGGTTTTCAGTAGAATAGTGTTCTCCATCGGCTGAACAAGATGCTCTCTGTCAATGGATTTTAGAGATGGTTCCAGAAGTTCCGTGTCCTGATCCAGAAGTGAGCTTGCTTGCTTATTTACAGCGCTGTGGTCTTCTATACGCACAGGCACCTCATGCTCTGCTTTAGAAGTGAGTGGCTTGAGGAATTGGTCTGTGCTGATGAATTGAGTGTATAAGACATCACCTGATAACTCTCCAGTCTGGGTAATCGCTGGGTGATCTGCCACCGTCAGGGGCAATAAAGTGGATGCTTCAAGGAAAGCAACAGAAAGAACAAATGCGTTCATTTAATACTCTATGGAGTGACATGTTGCAGTATTTCATAACATTTCATAGTAGGTGGTAGGGTGATAATCCTGGAGGCGAAGAACAACCTAAGGCTACTGTTTTCCACCACAACCCGACTCCTCCGTCCCCCCCGCCACCCCGCGCAGGTCATCTCCTCCAACCTTCACTGCGAGGAGATGCTGGATTTCCTTGAATCCAAGATCAAGGGAATTCGCTCCACGGTCACTTCCCCTCCAACATCCACCAACCCTCTACCCCCTCACTCCCACACTCCGACTGCTACCCATCCTCCCCTACTCACTTTTGTACCCATTTCCCCACTCTCTGTCACCAAACTCATCCTATCCCTGAAACCAACCACCTGCTCCCTTGACCCCATCCCCACTCCACTCCTTATCTCCCAGCTCCATTTTCTTGCCCCACATATCACCGACATCGTCAACCTGTCCCTCTCCTCTGGCTCTGTCCCCATTCCCTTAAAAACTGCCACCATCACGCCCACCCTGAAAAAACCCTCCCTTGATGCGTCGCAGCTATCAAGCTACCGGCCCATCTCCAACCTCCCCTTTCTCTCCAAGGTCCTGGAAAGAGTTGTCGCCTCCCAACTGCGCTCTTTCCTTTCCACCCATTCACTCTTCGAACCCCTTCAGTCAGGTTTCCGTGCTGCCCATAGCACAGAAACTGCCCTGGTCAAGGTCACCAATGATATCCTGACCATCTGTGACCAGGGCTCCCTCGTCCTCCTCGACCTATCGGCAGCATTCGATACGGTCGACCACGCTATCCTACTCCACCGCTTGTCCTCCCACCTCAACCTTCAAGGCACTGTCCTTGAGTGGTTTAGGTCGTACCTTTCTCACCGTCTTCACTTTGTCTCTACAAATGGCTTCTCCTCCACCCCCCACACTGTCTCATGTGGTGTCCCTCAGGGCTCTGTCCTCGGTCCCCTCCTCTTCACCCTCTATATGCTCCCCCTTGGTGACATCATCCGCAGACATGGGTTAACTTCCACATGTATGCGGATGACACCCAACTCTACCTTTCCTCCTCTACTCTCAACTCCACGACCACCGATGTCCTGACAGCTGCCTGTCCGACATCGAGTCTTGGACGAGAGACAACTTTCTTCAGCTCAACGTGCGAAAAACGTGCGAAGAACCCTCCTGATTGGCTCATGTCAGCGCCTCCGCACCTCAGGCGCTGACACCATCAGCATCCAAGGCTGCACTCTCCACCTCTCAAAGCCAGTCAGGAACCTCGGCGTTTTGTTCGACCCTGAGCTGTCCTTTCTCCCTCACATCCGCACCACAACTGGCACCGCCTTCCATCACCTCCGGAACATCGCCAGACTACGGCATTACCTCACCCCTCACGCTGCTAAAACCCTGGTCCACGCCTTTGTCACCTCAAGGCTGGACTATGGGAACTCTCTCCTCGCCGGCCTTCCCGCCACCTCCCTCCACAAGCTGCAGCTCGTGTACTGTCCCGCACCAGGCTTCGGGACCACATCACTCCCACCCTCGCTCGCCTCCATCCCCCAGAGGATTGATTTCAAGATCCTCATCCTCACCTACAAGGCCATTCACGGCCTTGCTCCCTCCTACCTCTCCAACCTACTATCCCCCTACCTACCTGCCCGTACCCTCCGTTCCTCCGGCTCCGGTCTGCTCCACGTCCCCCGCCCCAACCGCCCTACCATCGGTGGTCGGGCCTTCAGCCTCTCAGCCCTGAGGCTCTGGAACTCCATCCCCCAGTGCCTTCGCCGCCTCCTCCCTTTCCTCCTTCAAGGCCGGTCTCAAAACCTTTCTCTTTGACCGAGCCTTCAGCTCCCCTCTCGACTCTCTTCCCCCTCCTCGCTCCCTCCCTTCCCTCCCCTCACCCTGACCATTTCCCCCCTCCTCGCTCCCTCCCTTTCCTCACCCTGACCATTTCCCCCCTCCTCGCTCCCTCCCTTCCCTCCCCTCACCCTCCCCATGCTCGGGTCCTGACCCAACTGTGCAGCGCCTTGGGACGTCCTCCTGACGTGAAAGGCGCTTTATAAATGGAATCTTGTTGTTGTTGATACCTGCTGTAACAGGTAGTTGGGAGATACCCTCTGAATAGATATTCTGAACAGATACCTGACTGCAAAGAGAATAAATAGTTAATATGAGGGAGGGGGTGGGGGGAAGAGAGTAGAAGGGCTGCAGTGAAGTCTGAGGAAACTGGAGGCATATGGAAACAGTAGCAAACCTTTCATCCCATCCAATTTATTCTACCATTCTATTAGATTATGGATAGTCTATTAATTCCATTTTTTTTATCTTTTCTCCTATCTATCTATAGGAAGTTGGCCTGCAGACTAAGGAGTTGTAATTGCTCTTTAAACCTTGAAATATTTCAGACTAACTTTTGAATAAAGTATGCACCATTTTGAATTTGACTTCTGAACGTTATCTAGTTGCGTATTTTCCATTAGAGTTTTATGGGATGAAATTGCTGCCCTGAGTCGAGGTTGCGGCTGTGTAGATAACTGTGTCATTCTGCACCTCATGCGTGAGAGCTGGGTCGTATGTGGCCATATATTGCAAGAGTGGTGGGAAGGGTTGCTATATTATTCACCACTGTATAAATATTACAAATCAGTGTTGACCGAGTTAAAAGGAGAGGCACGAAACAATCATAATCAAAACTTCTGTCCAACAGTCTCACAGGTTGATCAGATGGAGGTTGTTGAACCGGACCAGATAAAGAAGAGGTAATGTCCTAAAATCTACTCATTGTGTGCATTTTCGCTCATTTGTAATGCTTCTATTTAAGTAGATGCCTCTGAGTTTATTTAGTGGGGTCCAATGGGATTCCTTAGGAGGAACATGGAAGTGCACGTAGGAACTCCAATAAATTTTACTATCGGAGCGGAGTTCTCATAGGTCTGTGGGACATCTATCCGGTTACCAAAGGGAGCCTCCACTTGGTTTCCTAGTTAAGGAACCGTTAAAGAACTCACACATCTGGCACATATTTGACCCCAGGATCAGAACTCTGAGTGATTTGGAGCCAAAGGGCTACATTTGACACCTGTCAGAACTGACTGGAGGAAAGGGGAAGAATTCTGCTTCATTATAACATCTTCCAAAAACTTTTGGCCATCAGTAAATGAAGTTAGGGCAGTAATTGTGCTGGAGGAATTTGCTGTAAACTTTTTGCTGCTTGAATTGACGATAAAGTGTGCAATGCATTTGTAACCCAGTTAGAACTATTTTTAGTAAAGGAACAAGAGAATAATCAAAAAAGTGAAGCACTATACCTTCGGTTAAGGGAAGATTCTGTGCCGTACTGTTGCGTTGAGAAGCCAGGGCCATTTTCTTCAGTTCCTTCAGTTCAGATACGGGATTGCTTTGTGTTTGGTCGAATATAATGCTAGACTTGATTCTAGCCCAGTAAATGAAGTACGACTGTACTGCTGAAACACTGGGGTTATGTGAGACACAAAAGTATATTATTGAGTCATTGATTGGAACGTGATGCAACCTTTTTCGGTGCCTTTCGACTTATCCAGAGGGCAAATTGTCTGTGAATGAGTTCCACCAGTAACTGTAATATGACTATGTAACTGCACTGGAATCTGAAGTGAGCTGCACTAAAATGAAATGATGTGATACAAAAGATAATAGATTTAACACCTCTTCAGTTGTATCACACTGCGCCACTGAGCTACAGGGCCTTTGGAGTCCTTTAGCTCAGTGATTAGAGCACTCGCCTCGCAATCGAGAGACCTGGGTTTGGTTCCCGGCAGGGTGAAATCTTGGGCAAGTTTCCTTACTTCGGCATGCCTGATAATAATCCCTCAAGAAAAAAACAATAACGATTTAGTCATTCAATCCACGACTTTCTGTGGGACATTGCTGTGCGCAATTGGCTGCCGCATTTCGCCCACAAATATAAAGTCAATTCACTTTACAGTATATCCTGTGAAGCGCTTTGAGACGTCTCGAAGATATGAAAAGTGCTATTTCAAATGCAAGGATTATTATTTATTATTATCATACAGTTTAGCTATTCCATCTGATGTTGCGCAGCAAAGGCACATAATGGCCTACTGTACCCACAGAGCTGCTTGTCAATAACAAGAAGGGTCACACTAAATGGCCTGAAATTTCCCATGGTTTAGCCTTAAGAACTTTTTTTTAATTTTTAAGATTATGTAGTTTTCACAAATTCTTAAATTCAAGCCACTATCAGCCAGGCTCAGTTTGTAGCACTCTTGCCAATGAGGCAGGAATTTGTGGGTTCAAACACTACCTCCCTCATCCACAATTTAACCTCATAGCCCAGTCTGACATAGCCAGGAGCCTCCATTGTTGGAAATGCTGTTATTTGGATGAGATGTTCAACCGAGTTCCTGTCTGCCTATCTGTTAAAGATCATCATGCTACTATTTGAAAAGAGAACGCAGTTTCTCCTGGATTGCCCCAGATAATAATAATAATAATAATAATAATCCTTGCATTTGATATAGCGCTTTTCACGTCAGGAGAACGTCTCAAAGCGCTTCACAGAACACACTGTAAAGTGAATTGACTGTATATTTGTGGGCGAACGCGGCAGCCAATTGCGAACAGCAATGTCCCACAAACAGTCGTAGATTGAAAATGACCAATTTATTATTGTTTTTGGAGGGATTATTATTAGGCGTGTGGAGTAAGGAAACTCGCCCAAGGTTTTGCCCTGTCTGGAATTGAACCCAGGTCTCTCACTTGCAAAGCGAGTGCTCTAACCACTGAGCTACAGGACTCCACAAAAAGTTTTATTTTCATCTTCATGGCTCTTTATGGAACATTGCTGCGTTCAAATTCACTGCTGCCTATACACACAGTAAAATACTGTGAAATGCTTTGAAATGTTTCAATGGCATGATATCGTACCAAATCAAAACCAAGGATTATTATTATTGTATAATCTTAATTTGGAAGATGGAAAACAGCAATGAAGAGAAGATAGAATAAATTCAATTTTCCCAAAGCATCAGAGGTAAGCCCTGTTCCTGTTACTTTCATATTGTTAGCTGCAGATTTTGCATAACCATATTCAATGATCGACCTAGGCAATGCTTACAAGAATTTGATGTCCCCAGCTGGTCTGTCTGGTGCTTTCCAGACAAACGAGAGGTTTCTCTTCAGTGTCTTGTCAGAGTGGGTGACTGTGTCTCCTTCCTCAAAGCACCTCAGCAGTTTAGACCCAGGAGAAATGAGAATGAAGGTCCCAGCGATTCGATCATCGGCCACACGACGAGCCTGGATGAGGAAGCCCATGAAGTCCCGGGTACTCCGTACAGTCACTGGAAGTCGAAGGTAAGTTTACAATTTTAGGAGTGATCAGACTGTCTTTCTGCTCTCTGTCAGTGCTGGAGTTGATCGTATATACTAGGTGCATAATATTTTAGATGTCCATTTCTCTGCCTTTTGGCTAAGATCAAATGCAGTATCTGTTCTTATCAGTTACTCTTTGCAATTTGCTCCTGCTAAAAAGCTCTCCTTATGTGATCGGCTTGTGTATACAGCCCCATGACCGAATCTCCCCATAATGCATTATAGGAGGACTGAGCTCCTGGTAGGAAGCAGGAAAGAGGGGAGGTGACCATAGGCACTATTGAAGAGGAAAGTCTTCATGTGTGATCCGAACAGGGGCATAACGGAGGGCTTGAGGTAGCTGTTTGGCCCACTGGTTGGTTTGATTTGCCCTCACAAAGAGGAAGTGGAGGTACTGTAATACGGAGCCAGCTTGAACGCTTGGTCACCAGGCTCAGCTAGAGTTTACCTGACTTGCTTGGGTGGTCGTGAAGACAGATATCAGATCCGCATTGTCCTTTGACAATGTGGGGCCTGGAGAGTTTGGGGGATGGGGTGGGGGGGAAGGATTGTCTGCAGGTACCAACCCTCGTTCCCTTGAGAAACAAGTTTTGGTCTAATTCAGTTTAAAGGGTGAACGGGCCTAACCTCGCTCATCAATAAAGAAATACTTTAGACAGTACTCTTTTCTCCAAACATCATTCTTTCTCTGTTTGCTCCTCTTGGTAAATGGTGACCTGCTCTGCCTTTTCCCACCTACAACTTGCATTTACATAAGGCCTCTCACGCAGGGTGGCATCCAGAGGCCCAGAAAATTGTATGTTATTTTGTATTACACCAACATCAACAACAAATTATATTTGTATAGCAGCTTTCATGTCTGGAGGACATCCCAAAGCACTGGACACTCAGGGATTTACATATAAAATAATACACAATTAAGTGTTGTGGATTACATAAACCAGAGGATAAGTCACTGATTGATGTTAGAAACAGGATTATACAGAAATAGTTAAGTATGTGTTGCTTGACAGCATACTGTGTCTCAACAGGAGGATGGTGGCAATGGTCCCAGATATTGTGTGATGAACTGTGGTGCTCACGAGACAGCTCGCAGACAGTTCCTGGTATCTGCCATCCCCCTAGTGAGGGCTCAAACCTGCCCTTGTCAGATGACCAACTTGTGACTGAATACTTTTAAGCATGGTGATGGCTTTCCATATGTGTCAGACACCCTGCTGATCAAAAATAAATGAATCCAAAATCCCGTCATTCAAATGTGTTGTTGCGCCTCAAATCATCCCTGAAATCCTGTTGGCTTCAAAACCACGATGCAGCAGGACTTGCGCCATGAGAAAATCCACATTACATTCAGTAGGCAGTTTTCTGGACTGTCTTATTCTGTAGTGGTTTGAGAATAACTGCTGCTCTTCTCTCAGTCAGTGGAGATAGGTGTTCTGAAATACCTTTTAATGAAAACCATCTTCCTCGCATGCCTTGATCAAATGCTGCAATTTATAGTTTGTGAAGCCACCAGCTACATCTAATGGCCAAAAATCAGCATTACAGCAGCTTGAACCTATGGTATTCAAATGACTGATAGCATCTATGTGACTGTGGGGTTATCGTAGCTGATCCCATCCTTACCTAACACCCGCAAACGCACACTTTCAAGCAGAGTCGCTAGAAAATCCATCTAATTTTTCCCTCTCTAACCCAGGGACACTGACACCAACATTACTCCCCCAATTGCTGCTCTGGCAGAGATTACCTACTGAGCACAGACTGGGATTTTAATTTGCAACCTTCTGGTTTATATAGCCACTGAGCTCTTGAGGGGGGATTTGCAATTCATGCTAACTAATAGATCAAATTAAGTACAAATCCTGTATAAGAATCATTTATACTTCAACCAACAGGACAGGAGTAGATTAGATCGACCCTCAGCCGCCCGAGCTCCAATGAAAATAACTCCAGTTTTCATAGTCTCTCATTGCAGCTTTGTCGATTAATAGTTAAATCCATGAGAATCCATTAACTCCATCCATTAATACAGAAACATCACAATACTTTAGTTTGCCATGCTGGTTGCACTAGGTGCCTGTATTGGCAGATTGCAACATGCGCTCTGTCACTATAGACAGGTGAAGGTCTTTGCTTACCTGGCACTTTGTCCCCAGGCAGGTAGGAAGATTTGTTGGTGTAGACTGTAATATAGCTGCTGCTTGAGTCCTGGGGTTGAGCACTGATGTGTTTTGGTTTCATCGTGACACAAGCAGCAGGACTTGCGCCATGAGAAAATCCAGCTGTGTTCGAGACCAAACGAAGGGCAATCAAAACCCAGCCCAGGAGAACCACACGGCTTCTCAGCACTTTGAACGCACCCTTTTAAGAGACCGGTCAGAAATATAGACCAAAAGCATATTAAAATACAGAAACTACTGGACCATTGCTTCAAATCTCTACTCCGTGTAGTTGTATTCCATACCTCTTATTGTTAATCCCAGCATCCCAAAAGTCTTGTAATAGCTCTTTGCACCTAACCAATTTACTGGCTTGTTTATCAGCAAACCTAAGTCCTTTTGTTCATCATCTCAACTTATGACAAACTTCCACTGAACTCATACTTTCAACTGTTATTTTTGCAACAAAAGTACATTGCTTCACATTTGGCTTCCCTGAACTGTATCTGCCATACTCCTGCCCAAACATCTAATCTATCAATGTTTATTTTTTAAACTATTAATCTCCACTCATTACAACCTGCCAACACGAGTTTCCAGATCCCCCAACTTACTAATCTACTTCAAGACCTCCAAGTAAGCAACGCTTTCCTTGGGTATCTGAATACACCCTTGATGATAAGAATCCTTAAATTTGATATAGAGCCTTGTCACGTTGTCTCAAACCTCTTCACAGGAAATACTGTGAAGTGTAGTGAATGTACGTTTGCAGACAAATATGGCAGTCAATTTTGCACATGGCAGTGTCCCACAAACAGCCATGACCAATTTTATTTGGAGGATTGTTGGCCAGGATACTAGGAGAAACTCTCTTCCCTTTTTGAATAATACCACAGATTCTTTAACAGCAACCCGAACAAGCACACAGGACCTCGGTTTAATATTTCTTATGAAGAATGGCACTTCTGACAATGCAACAGAGTATCAGCCAAGACAATAAGCTCAAAGCCTTGATGTATGACTTGAACTCACAACCTCCTGACTCAGGCAAGAGTGCAACCAACTGAGTCAGGCTGACACTTTGATGCAGCAAATGCCGTGTCCACAGCAGCACAAACCTTTGCTGTAATATTTCTGCCAGTCTTCAGGCAAAGGCTTACATTTCATCGCAACAGATGCGAGAAGTGATCACTTCATTCACTTTCAGCCTCCAGATAAATTGGTCATCCACTCCATGATAGCTTGCTGTATACAAGGCAGCTGCCAAGCTTGCCCACAAAAGGAGTTACTATCTTTGATAGTAATTATTACATGAAAGTTTGAGGCATTTCAAAGTCGTAAATTGCAATAAAATTAAAATTATTTCTTCTTTCTTTCACTGCATCATTCTCTGATCGTTAACTGTGACGGACCTTCTGAAGACTGTTTACTATGCAGTATTGCCTTTGAGAAGCTGTTTGGAAGCTTAACAAATAAGATCAGCAAACAACTGTGTTACGACTATTGCAAAATTCCTGTCACGGTACAGTGCCATCCAGGAACCGATCGTGTAAACCAACTTCAAGACGATTAGTAACAATGCAGAAGTGATTTAGTGCATTGCAAAAAATTGCATTATTGAACAAAATTAAAGACGTGTTTTTGTAGATAATATCAATCTAAAATCGTCGTCATAGTTTCTCCAACCACCCCCCCCACCCCCAACCCGGACACACACAGCGTCCAGAAGAAAGGAGATCTGCCTCTGGACGTGTGGCTAATCTGCTGAAACAATAACAATCCTGTCCTGCAAGGCGTCAGAAAGTTCTTAACAAAAAAGCTTGATCTCCAACGAAACCTGCTTTATAAATATTTGGGAAAATTAACTGACCTTTGCATACATTTTCCTCCGGGATGGCCTATGCATTAACCATTCGTACAACATCCACAGAGCTTTCTGATCTGGGCGGCCCATCTCCAGGAAGTGACTAAACTTTCTCCTCTAATGGCAGGTGCAGCAGCTGTTGCTTTAACACCAAGGAGGTCTTCTGTGATACCATCCTCTTTCTTTAATCCCATTAGCAACAAGCAGGGAGTTTCCCCTCTATCTAATCTGTCTAATGCAAACAAGAAAGGCTTGGTTTGGATCCTGATCTCACTGTGTCCTTCCTGAAGGCTCTTCATTCCTAGCCTAGAAGCTGTTTACTCTGTTGCGAGATTCTCTTTAACTCAGAACCTTTCCAAAACACCACCGCCAACACTTCTGAAAATAATACTTATTTATATTCCATAACATAAATCTGTCTAACCCACAGTACAGGTTTTTTTATATCAACTATGTCAAGAGCTGTTCTGCTTATGAATAGGATTTTTTAAAATCCATGTGTTGTCTGCCTCCCCAACCCTCCAACTCAGGTCTCCTAGGGATTGAGCTGGTTCAAACAATGATCAGTAACAATGCAGAAATCATTTGGTGCATTATTAAAAGGTGCGTTATTCAAAGATATTAAATATGCGCTTTTGTGGGCAATATCAATTTAAAAGCCTCATCATAATTTACCCCTCCCCGCAACTCAGACACACACACCATTGCTAGTTCTTGCGGGACAGGAGAATTATTGTTTCAGTAGCTAAGCCGCACATCCGTCAAGAGGTAGGTCCCCTTTTTTCTTGACGGCGTATGTGTAGATTGGAGGGGACGAAGATAAAATTCTGATGAGGATGTTAGATTGATATTGTCTCCAAATCGCACATTTAATTTCTTCTAATAATGCACCTTTTTAGTAATGCACCAAATCATTTCCGATTACGAAAAGGAATCCAGTCAATCCTCTGTGACAGTCTTGGTGGTCGGTTACCTGAGCCAGGTGGGTCTGCAGTACTCCAAGGCACTGATGATGACAGACCAGCCAGTCTGGCTCATCAACAGTAACTTGGAGGGGGCAGAACAGTCACTGGAGACAGGGTATGGTGGCCCAAGCTCAGGGGTTTCCAATTAATTGATCGATGTTAGGTGGCACTCTCGCGTATGATCAAGCAGACAAGAGGAAGGAATGGTAGAACTGTGTAACTATTTAGTCCAATTGAAAACAAAGCAGTGATTCCCACGTCAGAAAGGCTTCAGATTGCTCAGGATGTTCACACAACACACAATTTGCATTGTGATTGGGTAAAAGAAGAGTAGCAAATTTCTGCTTCAACAACCCCTTTACCTTATTGTTTGCACAGGCTCATTTGCATTTTGTCCGTCCTTAGTAGATTTTCATTGTAAAAGTCACTAAAGTGACAAATGGTTGTGAGGACAGACTGCTGTTGCCACAATTCTCCAGTTCGATAGGATGGTATGTGAGAGGACAAGAGCAAGCCATTCATGACTATTTGACCCATATATAATGGATGTGTGTCCAGTTAAATTTGTTTGGGGCCAGAAGTGCACATGTAATACGGCTGCTCACGTCAATATAAGCCTAAAACAAACAAGAGGCCCCCATGCACATCTGAACATCATTGCTATTGTCCATTACCTCATGTTTTTCATTTATTCTAACCTTTTCCCTTCTTTTCTACCAGGATGAAACATGGCTGGTGATAGATCAGTAGAGTTAACTACAGGTGTAAGGAAGTCGCTAGTAATGAAAAGAAATGTGCTTATGTCTGCGTCATAGTGGAAAAACGAATTATTCTTGCATTTGATCTAAAACCTTATTACATCAAAACATTTCAAAGGACTTGTAGAGATTTCTGTTAAGTGTAGTGACTGTATGTTTGTTAGGCCAATTTGTGTATCACGATGACCCACAAACAGGTGTTAAGTGAATAATTTTTTTTTATCGAGGTAAAAACACTCGGAGAAACTCCCTGCCTTTAAAATACTGTAGTGCTGTAAGATCGTTATTAGCTATCTGAACACACGGGATTAACGTCTCATCCTGGAGGGACCGCTAATAAAACAGCACTCCTCCAGCACTACTCTGGAAGCGCCAGCCTAGACTGTGAGCTTAAAGCCCTTACTTGGGGCTTGAACCCACAACCTGCTGACTCAACAACAACTTGCATTTATATAGGGCCCCTCATGCAGGGTAGTGTTCCACAGCGCTTGACAGTGGTGGAGCACGATGCCAAGCCAGGGGGAGGTGACCGTAGGTACGGCTGAAGAGGAAGGTCTTCAGGCATGATCTGAAGATGAGTAAGGAAGGGGCAAGATGGAGGGATAGAGGAAGAATGTTTCAGAATTTGGGGGCATAGTGGCTGAAAGTGTGGTCACCGATGGTGGAAAGGAAGGCACAAGGGACATGCAGAAGGCCGGAGCTAATCGAGCGGAGGACACGGGTTGTGGGGTGAGCAGATTGGAGAGGTAGGGAGGTGCCAGGTCATGAAGGGATTTGAAAATGAGCGTGTGGATCTTGAAATCGATCTGTTGGGCGACAGGGAGCCAGACAATAACTGGCTAGACTCAGAGGCAAGAGTGTTTCCAACTGAACCAAACTGAGATAGATCAGAACCAACTTTCACCTAACTGTGTAATAGGGACAAGACTCAAAACTTTGAGGTGTTCCATTTACCCACTCAGCAATTCAGAGTACTCATAGCAAGCATATTAGGAGTAAAAATATGATATTCATAAAAGGACTTTGCAAATAACCCTCTGGCAATAGTACATCACACTGACTGGGTCAGTGTGACCCATATCAATTTGCCAGGAGGAGTCAAAGTTTAGAAATTCTCATTGCAAATCTCACATTTTCGTCCTCTTTATTAACTATGCAATGCGCAAGACTACAACTAATGAGGAATAATTTTAACCCAGTGGTGCCATAAAATGAATTTGTTATCATTATTAGAGAAACAAAAGTTTGAGGGGTAACTTGATCAAAGTCTTTAAAATCCCTAGATAGATGACATGGCTGTAAGTGAGCTATTTGATTCCAAGCACAGAACTAGAGGATGAAGGTTTAAATAAAGAAGCCTCAAGCCAATTGGAGATTAGAATAAACTTGGCAATCCTCCTCCCTGGGGTAATGGAGTTGTGGAATAAATCTGCAGTTACCACTTTAATAATAATCCTTGCATTTGATATAGCGCCTTATATTGCTATATAAGCGAGACATTATATCTCAAAGCGCTTTACAGAATATACTGTAAAATGAATTGACTGTATATTTTGTGGACTATGTCAATGAACTCCTTAAAACAGATAAATATTTGGAGAAGGCAATTGGTGGTTGAAGTAAACCTAGAATACACCAAACCCTGACTGGTCAGAGCAAATGGGGTGGAGATCCAGTCCAGCGAGGTGGAATTTACAGCTAAGTGTAATTACTGTGCTGGTACCGGTGTTTACTGGCAGTACCGGCATTGAATCCCGAGTAACAGAGAATAGCGGATAAGCTATCAGAGGAATTATCTAATTCTAGAAAGTATTAGGCATAGGTTGGCACAAGCCAAGGCTTAGAGACCCCCCACTCCAAAGTGTGTTGGAGTTTAACTTGCGAAAAACACATAGTTTGCAATTGAAAGTATTCTCTTGCAAGATTCTCGCTGCTTGTCCAGCTAGGACCACTCTCGCCGTTAGGGATTTGCCTTGTAGGGTTATCGAGAGCTGAGAGGGAGGAATCCTTTCCCCTTGTGATCTGCCTCGCCAAGTACTGCTGTTGACTCAGGCTGGCTGATGTGCTATTACCGTGCCCTGGAATACTACCTGGCTCGGGAATCAGATGACCAAGATCGCAGCAGAGGATTGACTTGATTTTAACATTTCATTGTCAAACACGTCACCTTGGAGCCAGTCACTAGTTGGTCAGTTGATATCCAACAAGCGCAGGTTTGAGCCCTCACTCGGTGGATGGGAGATACTGGGAATTCTTTGCAAGCTTTCTGGTGAGCACAGTTTAGCATGAAATGTGTGAGAGCTTTGCCACCATCGTCCTGCCTAGAGCTCAGGCACACCTGCCTTCCCTGTGAGGAATACTTCCACGAGTTGGAGGTGCGGAATTAAAGCAGCAGTTGTTTACCTCTCTGCAAACTAATCAAGATGGATTCCAGGTACTCTATTTCACAAACTCAGAATCCAGGTAACACCTCCCAGCAACTGTCTACCCAAGCTTGAGTTTCCTCACAGTTATCTAGCAGACATCTACCTTGAGAGTGGTGGAAGGACCTTTATAGGACAGCTAACTTGCTATTCACCTCCAAGTTCAATGCCCCGTACCAGGCTTACTCAGCACCAGCTCCAGGTGCTCATGTGAGGGGCTTTGGCAACAACAGGTGCCGGTGTGAAGCCAACTTTGTCTAATAGCATGCTCAGCAACATATCATGGTAGGCCTGAACTCTCCCTCCCTCAAGCCACTTCCCCTGATTTATCACAAATTCACCAAGATGAGATAAAATGGATCAAAAGCATTCTTTGTCCAAACCTCTTATGAACTTGCATTGTTTTGGCTGGAGGTGGCGCAATAGTGTTGAGTAAACCAGGAAATACAAGGCAACCTTGTGTAAGTATCTGGATTAAAAGAGTAGGCTCATACAGTAAAACGTCGCTGTGAGTGTATTTGCGACATTCAGAATCTAAAGTGAGAAAATGAGACGTGTAAATCAATCCTTTTATTTGGTGCTATGTCTTCACTACAAGTTTAGCAAAGCAAATTAACTTCTCTAAGAAACAAGTTACCCATTTACCCTAATACAATACAGAGGTTCAGCTCTACCTGTGCGGCATCTCATCTGTGTTGTGCATCATTACTGTTACTTACTCCCGTAACAAATACGTTTCAAAATAAAACGAGACAACCAAATAGTTAAGAAAATGCAAAAAAAAAAGGCTTTCAAATCCAAGACATTTACTGCACACACAAAAAAAATCACATACATTGTTTTTATCCAGAAGATGTCAAAGGTGTAAGGAACTAGAGCTTATTCCACACCCAACACAAAAATAATCCAAAACAAAACTGATGGTGCAAAAAGTCTTCATAGTCTCCTCTTCTGTGTGCTTATATACAACACTGAAAGAGAAAGGGAAAACGGTGTAAATGTTCCCAAGTTTCAGATAAATGCAAACACGAAGAAATTTATTAGAAATCAATACAACTTCCGACTTAAGATATCCACATATGCCAGCCATGTTGGCAAGAGAGAAAAAAAAACAGGTTTGCAAATTCCACAATGTAACAAACTATTATGAAATTGTTGATGGATCCAGAAACAAGTTTTCCAATGAAAACTGAATCATTAGTTATACAGTGTTAAAACTGCACTACCTGTTATAGATACCTTTAAACTGCACTCTTAGTTATCCATTGATTTAAATTGTACTACTAGTTATACATGGTGCTATTAGTTAAACATGCCTTTAAACAAAAGGTAGTTTAATGCTTTTATGGAGAGACCTTACCATTGTTGCCTCGAATAAAGGCATCACCGTACTTGTTCTTCAGTTGACCATTTACATATTCTTCTGTCTGCTCCAATGCTATATTCATGTATCCATCCAGACACGCCAGGACCCCTGGGAAGTGCAAGGTACATGGTAAATGACCCACCTTATAACCCAGGACTGAATCTCATTGGCTAAAATACTGTTATGCACAATATGGTAATCTGTATATATTGGGAACAAAGTGGATTACTGGACTGTCATGTTTCCCACCTGGATTATGCTATCTTCAGCGAGTGCCGGTAATGCAAGACCACTATCCCTTGGGTAACGTCACAATGTCAAAGGCATAATGTAAGAGCTGCTGCTTTACAAGACACTCAGAGAAACCACCTGTTAAAGTGGAATCAATACCCCATTTCAAGAAGGAAGTTTATCACAGGTTCGAGCCCCAGGGTCACCTGGCACTTTGATGAAATGAATTCTCCCTTCACCCAATATTTGGAACCATACATGTAAGTGAAGTGCGCTGTGCCTTTGGGGAAGGGGAGAAAGGTTGGAAAGGATGAGGAAGAAAGTAATACATGAAAAAGTTTAGCTGCAGTCTCCAGGCAGCTGGTCACAGAGCAGTCCCAGAGAATTAGAAAATGACCTACTATCCCCAGGGGAGTTTGGAGTTGGAATCCAAACCCAAGTTAAGAAAACATTTTTTTAAAATTACCAACAAAAATCATAATTTCAAGAATGTGGAAGACAGTTTTTCATTTATAATCTCAACCAAAGAGTAGCAAAAATACAAACATCAGTTGTGTTGTTCTACGTGGCAAGCACTGACTGAGAATACAACAACAACATGATTGCATTTATACAAGCGCCTTTCACGTCGGGAGGACATCCAAAGGCGCTGGACAATTGGGTCGGGAATAGCAATAAGAACATTCAATTATACTAGATTAAATTTATATATGTTCAAAATATTTCAATATCCCATTTTGGGATAAACTAAATGATGGGCTGGATCACAGGCTTAAATGAAATGATGTTTAAACAGCATTTTACATTTAAAATGAACAACATAAGTCCTTGTACACTGAGAATATTTAGGAATCTACCCAAAAGACATTACCTCGATAATCCACGCCCGAGTTTAGTTTGACGACCACTGGTCTTCCAATGATCTGTTTTAGAAAGTCACTGGGCGTCTGTTTCCGCAGACTCATTTTCCTCCTTTAGTCTATTAAGCTGCAGAAGAATACAAAGACTTTCTCAGTAAAAACATTCCCAACTTAACCAGCAGAAATTCAAAATAGATCTCTTCACGTACAAAAGCTCTCAGTCACCAAATTAGGATCTAGCAGAATGATCAAATGATAATCAACCTTGAGTTAATGCTTGTGAGCGTTTCCTACAGAAGGACTACAAGCAAGAGCAAATTATGAGGCATTTTACATAAAGCCATATAGTATCATACAAATCTGATACAAAACACATTCCATAAACGTTTGGTCAGCATCCATGATCACATTAAGTCCAGTCTGCCCTTATGTTGGGACATGTTTCCTGGCCCAAGTGCGCAACTTTATACATGTATGGAAATGACAAAATGTCAAGCAGCTTGATAGAAATTTGGTCTTTGCACAGCAGCAAAACTCTTTGCATATAGATTGGTGTGCTCTTGTTACTCCACCAGGGCCACTGCTTTAATGAGGGCAGGCTGCTGGAAACAACCTGATCTTATTTCTCAAGAGTGATGCTGTGATAGCGATAGACACAATAAAGTCTCCAGTAAGAGACATTACTCTTCTGCATCAGAGGCTAACAATGCAGCAACATCCACTGAACGGAAAAAAAAACATGTGAAGGATGGGAGAACATTAGTTGTTCACAGCACAAGACAAACTATTATTCGCTTTCTTCTCACTTGAAAGATTATCAAGCCTCCCACACGCATCAACGTTTACAGAACAGATTTTACCAACGCTTTATCTTTGTTAAACTCTCCTATTCCTCAACCAAGGGATAGGTTGGAGGCATCGTACAACATCACATCTACCAACAAAGCTCATGAGTTGGTCTCCGAGAAGCACGAGTGCTAAATAAATGCAAGTTGTTATTGCTGCTGCAGAGAGATGCATAGGAATAGATTGAGATGACATAATATATTCCTTCCGTACTACTTTGTTCACCCTTTTCTCCTGTTATCAATTGATGCTGGTGTGTGTGTGTGTGTGTGCGTGTGAACAAACTCCCTTCCTCACTGTTGCATAGCACTTTTTAAAAAAAAAGTACAGAAGGTATACACTCCAAAGAGTGACCACAACAACTTGCGATGCAAAATTGGCATTTGACATCGCGCCTTATCACACGGTTCAGACGTCTCAAAAGCGCTTCACAGAATCTACGGCAAAAGTGCATCGTCCGCATGTTTTTGTGGGCGAAGCTCGGCCGGCGATGGATTGCGCACGGCAGGGTCCCGCCGAACAGTCGCGGATTGAGCGGCCCCCAATTATCGTTCTTTTTTTTTCTTCTTCTTGAGGGATTGTTACCGGGCGCGTGGAGCGAGGAAACCCGCCGGAGGTTTCTCCCTGTCGGGAATCCAAACCGGGGTCTCTCGCTGGCGAGGCGAGCGCTCTCACCACTGAGCTGCAGGACTACCCCCCCCCACCCCCCCCGCAGCCCCCCCACCCCAACCCCCCCCCAAAAAAAAGGAGGCAAAACAAAAACCCGCAGAATCAAAAGAAACGTACCGCGCGAGAGGCCAACGTCGCCGCTCGTCCGGCGCGTCTGCTTTGCCGCGGGGCAGACCCCGGTCCCCGCCCGGGTCACGGCGAGCGGAGGGTCACACGGGCGGGGAGTGGGGGTCAGGCCCTGACCCCTGGGGGTAGGCTGTCGGGGCAGAACGGGCTGGAGGGGCTGAAAATGGCCCCTCCTCCTGCTGCTCCAGGGCTCCCCCCCCAGCAAGAAGCAGCCCAACCCCCCCCCCACTCCTCCCCCCCTCCCCCCCTCCCTCACTCCCCCCCCTCACTCCTCCCCCCCCTCACTCCCCCCCCCCCACTCCTCCCCTCACTCCCCCCCTCACTCCCCCCCCCCCCACTCCTCCCCCCCCCTCACTCCCCCCCCCTCACTCCTCCCCTCACTCCTCCCCTCACTCCCCCCCCTCACTCCTCCCCCCCCCCACTCCCCCCCCCCCTCACTCCCCCCCCCCTCACTCCCCCCCCCCCTCACTCCCCCCCCCGCACCGCTCTGCCCCACACCCCGCACTTCCTTCTCCCCCCAATACCTTCGCTCAGCAGTGGGCGGCTCGGCTCGGACAGGCCTCTCCCGCGCGCGCGCGCGTGTGTGTGTGTAAAAACCCCCCTCTCTCTCTCTCTCTCTTTGAAACTCCCGAATATCAGCAGCAACAGCAGCGGCGGCGGCGGCTCCCACAGCGGCTCAGTCCACACACACACACACACGGGGGGGGGGGGGGGGGCGGCAGCGCGGCCTCGCGGTCTCTCCTCTCCTCTCCTCGCGCTCCGCCGGCGGCTCATTCACAAACTCGGCCGCTGTTCCGTCTGAGAGCCAATCGCCTGCGGTGGGCGGTCCTCTCTCTCTCTCTCTGTCTCTCTCTCCGCGCCCCACCACCACCACCACCCCGCGCGTGCGCGAGACTGCGGGACGTCACTACGGCGTCCCGGCGGGGAGTGGGCGGGGGGGGGGCGGGGCCGAGCTTTTTTTTTTAGCGTTGCGAGTGTTCAAAACACCCAAACACCAAACACCCAAATACCTCCCCTTCTCTTGGGTCAATTGTCTGTCTGTCTGTGTCTGTCTGTCTGTCTGTCTGTGTCTGTCTGTGTCTGTCTGTCTGTCTGTGTCTGTCTGTGTCTGTCTGTCTGTTTGTGTCTGTCCGTCTGTCTGTGTCTGTCCGTCTGTCTGTCTGTCTGTGTCTGTCCGTCTGTCTGTGTCTGTCCGTCTGTCTGTGTCTGTCTGTCTGTGTCTGTCTGTGTCTGTGTCTGTCCGTCTGTCTGTGTCTGTCTGTCTGTGTCTGTCTGTGTCTGTGTCTGTGTCTGTCTGTCTGTCTGTGTCTGTCTGTCTGTCTGTCTGTCTGTCTGTCTGTCTGTCTGTGTCTGTCTGTCTGTCTGTCCGTCTGTCTGTGTCTGTCCGTCTGTCTGTGTCTGTCTGTCTGTCTGTGTGTGTCTGTCTGTGTCTGTCCATCTGTCCGTCTGTCTGTGACTCTGTCCGTCTGTCTGTCTGTGTCTGTCTGTCTGTCTCTCTCTCTGTGTCCGTGTGTCCGTCTGTCTGTCTGTCTGTCTGTCTGTCTGTCTGTCTGTCTGTCTGTCTGTCTGTCTGTCTGTCTGTCTGTCTGTCTGTGTCTGTCTGTCTGTCTGTCTGTGTCTGTCTGTCTGTGTCTGTCCGTCTGTCTCTGTCTGTCTGTCTGTGTCTGTCCGTCTGTCCGTCTGTCTGTCTGTCGGTTCGTCCGTCCGTCCGTCCGTCTGTCTGTGTCTGTCCGTCTGTCTGTGTCCGTCCGTCCGTCCGTCCGTCCGTCTGTCTGTGTCTGTGTCTGTCCGTCTGCTCACAAAGTCTTGTTACCCCCATTTTCTGTCTCTCTCTGTCTCTCTCTCTCTCTCCAGTGGCCCCAATAACTGAAACGCGCGCAAGAACGATGATGATCATTGTATTTGAAAGTACCTTCCGCTGCGTTCAGCGCAAGCGTTTTAACTGTACGTCCAGAGGATCGGGGGTGGGGTGGTGGGGGTGCGCCGTTGTTTTCATGGCAGGTGATGATCGGTCCAGGCCACGTCGGTGCGATGCCTTCTGTGACGCGGATAATGATAACAATAACAATAATCCTTTTGCATTTGATACAGCGCCTTATCCTGTCTTCTCGACGTCTCAAAGCGCTTCACAGGATACACTGTAAGGCGAATTGACAAGTGTATTTTGTGGGCGAAACGCGGCAGCCAATTGCGCACAGCAGTGTCCCATGAACGGTCGTGGATCGAGCGACCGATTTATTATTTTTTTAAAAAGAATTACTACCCCCGGAAAAGTGATCCGCCAAATCGACTAACAACTGGGTTCCCACTAATTGCTGGATAAACAGAGGCATGTGGAGTAAGGAAACTTGCCCAATGTTTTGCCCTGCCCGGGATCGAACCCAGGACTCTCGCTTGTGAGACGAGAGCTCTAACCACTGAGCTCCAGGGGTTTCAATAAGTGTAGAATTTGTTGCACGCCAGATATAACATGCACTTAATTTCTAATCAATCTTATTTTGTAAAACACTTTGAGACATTTATTTCATGTGAAAGGTGCTATACAAGTGGTGGTTGTTGATGCTGAAATAAAATCAGGAAAATACATTGTCGATTTATCAGGAAAATTGCTGTACTGTACAGTAATTCCTGTGAAGCGCTTTGAGACATCCCCCGACATGAAAGGCACCACACTAAATGCAAATGTAAGAATTATTATATATGTTATTATATATTATATATCAGAATCTGAAAAGGAAAGTGTTTCATTCTTTCATCTGAACTGGAACCAAAAGATTAGAACAGCTTCTTTAAACAGGATAGGACAAAGACATTAGGAAAAAGTTACAGAAAATGTAAATCACTAATTGCATTCACAGTACATTTTCTGTTTTTACTTCACATTTACAGTATTAGCAAATTGGCTGCTGTGTTTCGCCTACATGTCTATTGTGGCCCATCATGAAATTCTTACCTGCCATCGGTATTCTCAAACAATGTATGAGCTGAGATAATTATCACATTGAAGACTTTATGAAACACTATTAATGTCACCCCTTTAATTTGTAAATGTGGCCCTGATAGTGAGACTGTCTCTGCAAAGCATGATCCCATAAGTTATTGTGAAGCTTTTTTTTCAAGGGTGGAGGAGATATATATTTTAGTGCAGAAATGCAGGAAGGAAGCTCAAATATAGTACTGTACGTATTTTACTCCAAACCATTGCATCTGTCTTGATGTAAGCCATGAGAAGCCATCAATCACTTCCTAACAGGTGAAAGTTTAAGTCAAACAATAGCTGCCTGCTATAGCTTGGTTTAGGAAGTGTTGTCGGGAAAGGCTGGGGTGGAGGTTGTGGTGGGGGGGGGGGGGTGCAGATTGTTGGTCACACTTTCAGCCAGAAAATAATGTGTTGCTCTGAAATGCTGAGTTATGTCTTGAACTCATAGTCAAGAAAAAATAAGTAAAATAGGAATAACTTAAAAGTAGGTGGGAATAAGAAAACTGTGGCTCGGCATTCCAATTTTTACCCTTTCCTTTCAAACTCACAGTGGGCTAAGAGGCCGTGGCTGCTTTCGAGTATCTTAAGCAAGTGGACAATATTCACATTGTACACGAGCCTATATTGTGACTATCGGGGAGCAATTCAACAATTGCAGCTAAGATCAATCCTGCCCTCACCAGACAGTCATATATAGGCATTTTTCCAGCAGGGGGAGTCACTGGATTGTGTCTTGAGTGGAAATCCAGGCAGATTTTATTCTTTTTAAGTCAAAGGCACTGAGGCTAATTTTAACTGTAAAACTGCTGAGGTCATTTAACAGCACAGAATGAGGATCAAACCGGAGATTTTACTGATCTGTGTGGCTCAGTACAATAACAGACTGTGCGTTATCCACACGTGCATGAATTTTCCTTCAAGGTTCAAATGAACAATTCCACCTGATGTGAAGTCAGCCAAGGAAAGTCCAGCGCATCTGGAGTGTTGTAAACTGAACTCCAAATGATGTAACGTCACGCTTTAGGAAAGCTTTCCAAACCAATTAAAAAATTAAAAAATGTATGGATGGTGTGTACTGGGAGGATATCAACCTTTACAAGAAAAATACAACACTTCAGTGTGCTCCCACATGGTTGAGTGGATCAGATCAATGGATTTCACCAGTGGGGCCCAGGTGTCAAACTGAAGAGGGAAAGCAAAAGTATCCAGAGGCTTCATCCAGACAGTTAGTCAGCTCAACAAACAGTGCCAATAACACAAGGTACACTCAAATCAATCTATGCAATTCTGATGTATACTATAATATAATAATGCTTGCATGTGATATAGTGCCTTATCGCATCGAGACGTCTCAAAGCGCTTCACAGAATATAAAGTGGATTGACTGTGTATTTTGGGGGCGAGACGTGACAGCCAATTACGCACAACAGTGTCCCACAAACAGTCATGGATGGAGTGGCCACATTTTTTTTGAGGGATTATTATCCCCGGAAAGCGATCCGCTAATCGACTAACAACTGAGTTCCTACTAACCGCTAGGGAAACAGACATGTGGAGTAAGGAAACGTTTCACCTCGCACTAACCACTACACTACGGGACTCCACTATACACAATACTGTACAAACATATGACACTGCACTGATACAGGAAGAGTGTATCTCTTTTGCTGCACTCGTGTGTTTTCAACCTTTTGTCAGTCCATTGCAACTCATTACTTGTAAAAGGATTCAAACATAGTATAAATGTACAGTTCAGGAATGTGATTTTTTAAAAAAAAAATTCAAAAATAGTGTGCCCTGTGCCCTAATATATGTCCAATTTCTCTCCGCTGGCATATCCCTCTCTGCTCCTGGTCTGATCTCCTCTCGCTGGAGTGCAGTTTAGTTCCACAGATGCTGGATGCCCTCCAGTATCCACCTAAGTGGCCATTGTTCGTGTGGTTTAGTGAGGGTCAGCACTTGACTGCAGAGGATATCATAGCTGAGCCTGACCTCTTCCTGTTCAGCTGTTACACCCACGTACAAACAACCAGTAGAGGGACTAGAAGCAAAAACCTCAGCTGATTTTCTGCTCCTTAACCCTGGTGCCTGGACCAATTTAGTACCTTTATTCAAGGCTGATTCCAGAAAACTCCACACTGATCAGGAGTCGAACGAGCAGACTTGTGGTCCGTACGCTTGTAGCTCTTCCCAGTACACCGCTGGGCTACCTCTCGTAACAGTGATTTTTAATAACGAAAATATTTTCAATTAGGGATTTATCACAATCAGATTGTCTTTCTGTTTTGTGTGACTAATGGTTCATCATAGGTGTCAATCTGGCTCAGTTGGTACCACTCTCGCCTCTGAGTTGGAAGTTTGAGAGCTTCAGTCTCATGTCTGAACTTTGAGTCCACACAGCCTGGGCTGAGACTCCTGTCGGTGCAGTACTGTGGGAACACTGCACCGTCAAGACTCTGCCCTTTGGACGAGATGTTAAATTGATGTCTCAGAACGCCTGTCTGTTCAGGTGGATGGTGAAGATCCCATGGCATTATACGAAAAGGGGAAAGAGTTTCTCACAGTGTCCTGGACAACAACTCCCCAGTTTTTTAGTGATTCACTTCATGGCTGTTTGCGGGTCAAAGCTGT